TGAGTCTGGGCCTCTGAGGTGCTGAAGGAGAAGGCGTTCGCGGAGCCCGGTGTGCCCACGGCGCCGACAGGGGTGGAGGTCTGGATGGGCCCACCCACGAACGTCATGCTGAAGGGCTCGGGGTCCTGGGTCGGCAGGGGGTGCTCGGTGGAGAGGGGGACTGGTGACAAGGTGGGGCAGAAAGGAGAGGAGGAGGGTAAGGGCGAGGTCGGACCGGGACCGGCCTGGCGGGGAGCCCCTCCCCCGGCACCACTTACTTTTTCGGGTGGCAGCAGGCCCCGCAGCGCCAGCTGAGGGGTGGGGTCCAGAAGCGGGTCCTTGGGGGGACTCTGCCAGCCGCACCCGGGGGGCCTCCACATTGGTCGCAGGGTTGGCCAGGTTCTGAGAAACACCTGGAGGGGCAGTCGTGGAGGTGAACAGGGGGCCCACCAGGGGGCTGCTTGGCGTCAGGGAGCCGGTGGAAGGCAGGCCCAGGCTGCTGGTCAGAGTGGCCGCTGGGGACGCCCTCATGGAGCCGCTCAGGTGGCCGTGCGGAGTCAGGGAGCCGGTGGAGGGCAGGCCCAGAGAGCTGGCCATGGCGCTCGGCATGGACGTTGCCATGGGGTTGGCCAGGAGGCTGTAGAGCGCGCTGTTCTGCGACATGGGCCCTAGGGAGGACAGCAGCATGCTGATGGGGCTGGGCTGCGGGCTGTTTAGCATGTCGGCCATGGGCGCCAGCCCCGCCAGCCCCGCTTCGTCCAGGGCAGGTTCATTGGCTGCGGCTGGGGCCGGGGACAGGAAGACACCTGGGGGACACAGAGAAAGCACTGAGACCCCAAGTGGGCCCCCGGGGGAAAGGGCTTTCTCCCGGTTGTGGCAGGGCCTGGAGCTGACCAACCTCTCTGAGCCTCACCTCCCAATTGGAGCCCCAGACCAGGGTCCGGTCCCTCTGAAAGAGCCTCGTTTCTCCAAGGTGGCAGGAGGGGCGGGCCCTGACCTGCGGAGACCCAGGTAGAAAGGGGCCCTGCACGGGGCGGAGCTAAGCCAGATGGGCGTGGCTCTACACGGGGCGTGGCTCAACACAGGGGCGGGGTCGCTGTGGAGGCGGGGCTAGAG